ATAATAAAAATAATATATTATATAATAAAATAATAATATTAAAATTATTAGTATAATTATGGTATTATTTGTTAAAATATTACAATTATATTATATTATATCATATTATATATATTATATTGTAATATTATTATATATTATATTATAAGATATAATTACGTTACAATATATTATATATTATTATAGAATATTCAATAAATATATTATAATTTATAACTATATTATAAATTAATTATTATATTATAATATTTTTATATTATATTATATTGTATATTATATCATAAGATATAACTACTATATAATATATTTTAATTATATTATAATATTTAAGGGCAATTATGGAAAAAATAAATAAAGAAAATAACTTGGAATTATTATTACTCTCATGTGAGGAAGGAATGATGATTCACTTTTGGGTGAATGGCCATTAGTTTTGAATGATTATTCATTTCTTATAAATCCAACCAAACATCAAACTTGAATTCCATTCTATTCTATTTTATTCATTTTTACCCAACCAAACACACCCTAATAGTGTGTTTGGTAAGAGGGATAGATGGAGGGAGGGAGAAGGGTGAAGGAAGAGAGGTGGCGGGAGAGCACAATTCCATTGTTTGGTTTGATTGATGAGAGGAGGGAGAGGCTCTCCTATTGGACCCACTAATTTGGATCATTCCCTTAATGGAAGGATTCATCAAATCCCTCAAATTTCAAATTAAAGTCTATTTGACCCTCCAAAAGAAATTATTACCAAATAATAAAATGGACAACAAGCCATCATCTATCCTTTCAACTCTCATTCCCTCATACCAAACAATATAAAGGATAATTCTCTCCAACCTTCATATTCCCCGTCTCGATCTCCAACTCTTTCTATCCTTCCAACTCTCGATCTCTCCTACTAAATGGAGCCTAAATTTGTACTCTTTGACTAATATAATTATTTGACTAAAAGGATATTAATTAAGAGTAGAGTATTTTGTCTCATTTTTTCTTATTGCCAAGCAACGTCAACACACCAATGGGCCTTTTCTGTTTTTAGGGTTCTTTACTCATCTAGCAAAATTTCAATAGTAGAGTTTAAATATAGTAAAATTTTTAAAATATTAAAAAATAACATAATTTTGATATCATTATAATAATGAATATATCATTACATAGTATAAAAATGTGGCATCATTATGATAATGATTATGTCAGTTTTGTTATATTTATAATATTATGAAAATTTTGACATGTGATGTAATTACGGAAATAGTAGAAAATATGCCAATATGAAAAGCTTAATGAAGTATATAGGCCAACTTTTAGTTATAGAAATTAATAGGCCATAACTTGTCAAGTTATGGTTCATAACCAGATAAGTTATAGACAAACTTGTCAAGTTATGATTCATAGTCAGACAAGTTATGGACAAAAATCGTGAATTATGGACAATAACTTGTCAAGTTATGGTTCATAACCAGACAAGTTATAGACGTAAACAGTAATTTAGCTTATTTATTAACTTATATAAATTATTGACTTATTAATTTTAATTAATCTAAAGTATTAGCTTATTTTCCTCTTTTTCCCATGTAATTATCACTACGTGACGGGGTTTAAGGGGAGGCCCAATAAGATACCCATTCAAAGAAAGCCCAACAAAGAAGTCAGCCCTTGAGCACTTCTAAATAACTGTAACTGAAATAACAGAAAACTGTTATTATTATTATTTTTTAAATAAAGTTTAACAGAAAACGCTTAGGATTAATGAAATCGGTGATTCAACAAGTCCATTCTTTAATGTTAACAATGTCAAGCATAAATATGTC